TCCACAATAAATTACTCTACACAAATACCTCTTAAATAATGATATTACTATTTCGAAGATCATCCCCTTCGTTTGAACAAAAATAATTTATTATTCGATATAATTAATATCTTAAATGAATTTATATTATTTTCAATAACTTCTCAGTAACTTTCATTCAAACAACTATCGAAAATAACGGTCCGATAAATGACTCCACCTAGTTATTTCCAAAGTTCGTCTCAAATCAAATCTGCCCAGGTGCGAATTGCCCTACAAAGTAACCATAGTATGACAAGAACTCACCAGCTAAATCTGCGGGTAATCTGGGATACAGCATGCCAGTCCTAGCCAACCACTCGAGTTGAAGTGGATGAATATGATGCTGCTGAGGATGAGATCCGGCAGCCTGCGAGTGCCCGACGGGCTGACCTTCCTTGTGTATGGAGTGAAACGCGCTGCCGCCCGCTGGATGATAGTACAATCCACCAGGATGAATGAGTGGCCCACTGGGGTGTAACAAGAGAGCCTGATTCTGTCGGGTAACTGCGGCCCCGCCGAGCGCACCGTAATGGCCAGTTGGTAAATTTGGATTGCCAGGGACACCGTTTCCTGTAGGTTCCTCCGATCCAGGCGAAATCGGCGGACTGGAAACGGGGCTGCGACTGGCGTTGCTACCAGAGCTTGCGCTTCCCGTTCTCGTGGGGTCAACCTCGATGGAAGCGTCGTCTTCGACGTTTTCGAGCCGATCCACGCGAAATCCTCCATTGGGGCCTGTCACCGATCCTATTCCGGTATTTTCCCCTCTGAAGATCGCTTTTCCTCTTTGAATCGCCACGGTCGTCGCGTCCACCGACTCCACGCGAACGTCGGACAAGTGGATGTCCCTCATTGATTGGTCCTGTCTCTCTATTCCATCGCGAACCAGCTCTAAGCTGGGCGAATCCGGGCCGTGCTGAACTGGTCTATCGAAGGGATTCAACAGACTCCCTAAAGACGATGTTCTCTGGTCATCAACACCTGTCGCGGTTGAGGCACCAGCTCTGCCTCCACTCGCGGCTCCCAAGGTGCAAGGCGATTCTCGCTCGTGACCTTGACTATTTCCTACGCAATTGCCATCCACGGGGTTCCTCGAAGCGAACAGAAATCTCGGATTCCTCTCCGATCGGTCGTGATCCAGGTTCTCCTGCTTCCCCGTCGCTCTACCCAGAAGAGCGTCGATACAGAACGACGTCTTCCCCAGCGACGTGTTCCGTCTGTCCGTCGAATGGTATCCCTGCGGCGACGTTCTGCCAGGCGACCCGTCCGATCCTCTGTAGTGACTCGCCACCGCGGACACCATTTCCTCGGTAAAGCACTTGACACTCGGGTTCTCCGTGTCCCTGAAGAAACTGGACGTCTCGTGCTCCTGCTTGGAGAAGGAGGACCGCTTCGCTTCGTGTTCCTCGCGGTACCTCGACATTCGAGATCCGTCTTCGAGCTCCAACGGCGAGCCGTTCGCCTCTTCAGGGGTGCCGAGGGTCTCGGTTCTCGCCTCGACGACCGGCGATCGCGTTTCCTCCGACCTGGGCGAGCAACTCCGACTTTGGCGCACGCTTTGCACGTACACGGTGTGCTGGGCTTGCTGGTGGTGGTCCTGTTGTCGCTGCCGCAGGTAGGAAGTCTCCAGGACACCTTGCGCGTCGTAATGCATGCCTGGTGAACGCGGGTGACGCGTCGAGCCGGTCGTTAGCGCATGCTATCTTCCTGGATTACGACTAATAGCGCCACTTGGAGTTTGGATCTTCTACTTGCTCCGCGTCGAGATTACGATGGTAGGTGGATGGACTAGGTGGACACTGGTTAGTCGAAAACTAGGACTAGTTCAGTCCACGTAACAGTGCTGGAATAAATCCTGGAGTCTCTGTGTTGATCAGATTCTGTAGCGTCGACGGATAACGGTAGGTCGTTAGCGCATGCTTCGAGCTATCTTCTCCCTTTCTAATTGCGTCGCTCGGAGTTTGGGGTTAAGATTCTATTATCTACGGATAGGTACTCGATAGGTAGTTTATCACACTATCAGCGCACAATCCTGCTGTTCCGCTGCTTTTGGATTCTCGATGCGATGTATCACGTCAGCGGGGGATACCAGCCGATCGTTAGCGAGTGCCTCGAGATATCTTCGCTACTTTCCAATTATTCACACCACTTGTAGTATCTTCTCCCCCTGTGTAGAACGGTAGCTAAGCCCAGCGTATCACTTTAACAATTCCACCTGCTTATAGAATCTCTGCGAGATTTGTCTCGCTAGCGTCGATCGTTACCGAATCTTACCTTCCTCCTGCCACCTAATTGCACCACTCGGAGTCTGTATCTGCTCGCCCTGCTACCGTGTCACTTTAACTAATCTCCCTGCTTACGATTCGTTGTTCTAACGTCGATAGTCGCTGGTATCCGATCGCTGGCGACCGATCGGCGTGCACAGTGATCTGGATCGACCCATCGATCGTCCACGACCGATCGGGGGCCACCCTTGTGAACGACTGGCACAGCTTTCACCCGAACCGATTCTCCCAACTTCCTCTTCCTCGTCTGTCTCTTCTTCTTTTTTCTTTCCCCCTAAAACCGATACGTATATTCCGTGGCGACGCGTCGCGTTCCCGTGTGATGAACGATCTCGAGCGTCGGTTTCGATTTGGCGGCGATACGAGCGATTAACCCGACGCCGCGCCGCAAAGTGACGTCGCGAGGAACCGCGTGTCCGTGACGGGAAAACCGTCCCCCTCCTGCGTTTCCGCGGTCAGTCGATTCCGCCACGCCTATCGCGGCGAACCCCCCCTACCGTTCCTGCCACGCCTACGGGAGCCCTTCCCTCCCTGCCGCGCCACCCGCGCGTCGTGTCGGTTTGAAGTTCCGATTCCCGATTCCCGAGCCAGCGAACCCCAAACCCCCGAACTCCGTGGCACCGAACCTCTTCCCCAAGCCCCGGGCGGACGGATTTGTGCAGTATGAAATTAGGATCCGGTTGCACGCTGTTACCGTACACAAGAGACGCCTCGGCGTTTCCTTTGGAAGGCGCGGAGGGATGAAGAGACACACGAGGTTCGAGAGGAGAAAACGGGGATGAAAGATCGCGGAAAGAAACGGACGGGAAAAGGAGGATCGAGGATGCACCGGGACCAGATGGGGAGCAGGAGTCGCCCTGCACGACGATGGGAGACCTCGAAGAGGGACAGGAAGAATTCCTCCTCCTCCCCCTTCCCTTCACCCGTCGGGAATCGTCCAATCACGCGACGAATACGGAACCCGCGCTAAGGAGAACGGATATGCAGTCGGTGCCACGTGATGCATGGAGAAAAGCGAGGGTTGGAGGAATGCAAGTTTCGTTGCACGGATAATGAGAGGGTAGTCGGACACCGTCCACGAGTAACGAGGATACGTCCGTTTGTCTGCTTGCGATACTTTCGCGGCGTTGAATCATGCACTTTCTTCCCGTCGCCACTGTGGATCCAAAATCGTAGCGCGACGAAAATGTAATCGACGAATATGTTTTCTGGCGAACACGTTACGCTATATTACACGTTACGCTATATTACACGTTACGCGAGGAAATATTGATATTCGGTGTGAACATTCGTTCTGTGCCTTTCTACTTGATTATTTACAACGCTAGTTCATGTAGAAATATCTATGGCTGCTAAATGTAATGCTTCTATGTAGTCGAAGGATTTGAACGAGACCGAGATTCATTCGGGAGAACGCGTTACATCGATTTCAACAATTGTGGAAAGAGCTCAAGTGTTACTTTCGGAGAATTCAAGGATCTCTTTCAAGAAAATGTCATTTGAATTAGGTATTAACACTTTAACACTTTACTTACCGGGAGCCTATTTATAGGCTTTTTAATTCCAGTATTTAGCTTTTCGAATTTGTTGGGTTGTCCGGAAAGTTCATGCCTATTTTTAAGAAAAATTCAAAGGCATATTTGAATTTTGATGTATATTTATTGAACTACATACCATTGTTCCATTGTATGTACCATTTTGTTCCACAACCTTCCACAAACTTTAAAGAATGTACACATTTTATTTGTGTTCAGCCATTCCGATATATTCAGACCTGTACCGCCTACTAAAAATCAGCATGGACTTTCCAGACAGCCCGATTATATTTACTGTGTTAGCGGTTGTCTACTTACAACGTTCAGTTTTTGGAAACAGACTTGGCTTTCAATGTACCTAGTAATAGTATGAAGGAATTATTGTCAGCCTAGATCGGCATATACCACTATAGAAAATTCTTTTTTGAATTAAAGACCTGTTTCTGAATACCCCGGTAGATAAAGTGTTAACACTTTAACGTTCGTTCACACAACACGTGTACCACAGTACCACACTCTCTGTGTGATGATTTACGAATTTAAACAAGTGTGGATATTGGCTTCGTATTTCATCGCTACGATTTTAGGTGATTATTCTTTTATCGTCTGTTTTTAATTATAAATTTTTTAAATCAACACTATGCAGTCCGGGTATACTACAGTGTACCACGAAAATTATGGAGCGAATGCAGCCAGCGGTTATTGTTGTTTTTTGTTTTGTTTTGTGTGTGTGTATATTCGCACGTGTTTATTTCGTCAATTTACATAATCTTTTCTTAAATTAATTCTTTAAAAAATATCGCCGTGTCCTGGCGACATTTGCGTATACACGCGAACGTTAAAGTGTCAACGAACGATACATTAGATCGCAGAAGAGGACTTGCATTACAAGTCCTACGTAATAAAAATACACGAGCCGTTTCGTTCAAAATTGCTTGTCAGACACTGTGGACATGCTTTGATTCACGAAATTTTGATTTCTCGATAACCCATATTTCAGAACCCTATCGACTATCACGTTTGGAGCGTAATCGAAAGGATTACCAACAAGTAGAAATACCGTAATGTGGAATCTTTACGCACCTGTATCGACGCAAAAGTTCCCAATGTCGATAGCATCGTTTGACAGAGAACGTACCAATGCTTCTCTCCTTGTATAGAGGAGGTGATTGCACTTGGGGTGGGAGAGAGAGGGGGGTAGATTGAGTAATTATACTCTAGAGCGGTTACACAACCAAGATGCAAGAGGTGTTTTTGTAATTGTATTTTTTGATTAGCAAAATTTAATTTGAAAGAAGAGAACAATTTATCCCTGTATTAACTAGTAATTGTGTTACATTATTGAGTACCACCCTTTTATATGTATATGTACGTAACCCGAGTCTCGACCTGGTGGTCCACACAATGTGTCTATTCACGAGTTATCCAATTTTGCCTTACAAGTGTACTTGATAATTGTAATAATTATAAAACAATAACAATAAGGAAGATCTTATGGCTACTGAAGTTCGTATACATGCATCGTAATGACCATCAGATTGAGACGTATTATTTCCTTTCTTATTTTTGTATCTCTTCAGTCCTGAAACGAAGTCAATTTTTGCTGTTACTTTTGAAATCAAACAAATATAAATCATTCCATTGACATCACCCATTTACTACTCGACAATAGTCCATCAAAACAGGTGAAAAATTGTTCGATGAAATAGATAAAACTTAATTCTCTGAAGTAGATAAAAATCATTAAGTGTGTTGGAATACCCAGGCCAGAAAGTGTGTTCATTATCGAATGGATATTAATCAGTTCCGTTTTCAAACAAATTGAAAAGCAAGTTTTTCATATTTTACAACGAAGTAGGTACACGTTTTAGTTTGTTCAAAAATTAAACTAATCAATGTCTGCTTGATAATGACCACACTTTCTGCTCTGGAAACCCCATCAAGCTTAATATTCGTATATGCATAAATAGTTTTCTTGTTAATTATAATGTTTATTTCTATATATTATATTCATTTGTAATTTCACTTTAAACACCTGAAGAAGACCCACACCAATGTGCAACGATGCCATTATTTATTGTTCCCTGGTTACTTACTGCAATTCGTTTTTAAATCTTTTCAACGAAATATCGACGTTATCTTCCGTTTTATCGAGCAGCTAATAGCCGCATAATAGGCATCACGCCCAGTTTTCCAGTAATCGGCCTGTTATCGGTTGTCGCGCACGAAATTTTATATCGGGCCTACGACGCATTATTTGCTTATCCCCACTGATAAAGTCTCTTCGATTTTTTAAGTGTCTAAACAGCCTAAACGCTTCGGGTTTTCTTCAATATCGTTTCCAATCTGGAAACTGGTTCGTTCCCTATCGGTTAAGGTGAAAAGGTAGGAAGAAACAGAACGAAAGTATAACGCTCGAGCATCCATATAACGTGGAACGTAAATCAATCGATAATGACCGAAAATCATTTTGACGACTGTCAAAAAATCGAAACAATCATTCACTCGATATTCATTGTTACTAGACTGTCGATGTTTATGTGAGTTTGTATTTTTACGGATTCAGAAAACAAATTGTGATTTAAATGAAAATATATATCTTATCTTGTAAACTTTGGATTTTATTGTTTATTCATACTGGTTTGTATTTATTTTAATATATATATTCTATGGTATTTATTTTATTGTATTTATTCTATTGTATTTATTCGTTATTTGTATTTATTTTATTATATATATTATACTCTATATTTTATTTTATATTTTACATGTTATTGCATTTATGCAAATCCTCATACGTTTTTCCTCATATATTTTCATCTGATATAAATGCGTAAACATCCGCAGTTTAATTATTAGGGAATTTGAACAGAGATTCTATCATCATTTAGTGGAGTGTTTTGTATGAAACGAAAGTGATAAAAATTGAATATTCAAAGCTTCGTTAATAACAAATTTTGTTTTATTAATTTATACAGTAAATCGATAAATAAAATGCCACGCGACGACCATTTTAGGAAATCCATACTCCACTATGAATTTAAAGTAATTTTAGATCAAATCGTTTAATCCTTGGATTAGGAATGGTAACTAAACAAGAAGTAAGATACCGACAGCAAATATTTAGTTAGTAAGTAAATTAGTTACTAAAAAAAATCGTTAATATTATAAAGTTGAACAGAGGCTGAGAGATTAACGAATCAAAGAATACGTTTTTCTTTAGATTGTCAAAAATCAAACTCAATTCTCGTCCGAAAGATTGAAATTAGCGAAGATATCATCTATCTATCTACATTCGCTAACTAAATTTTTAAGAACAACACGTAACTAACTTTGCAATGCATTTCTCGAGGATCGGATAAAATAATTAATCAAATTCTCGCGTCGAATATTCTACCGTGCATCGAGCAAATTTGATTTCGTCTAAAAGGAGAGGAAGGACAAACCACTCGTTGGTGTAGAAGTGATCGATCACCGTAGACGCTGCACTCTTTGTGCTTGTTATGATATCCATAGTCTTCGCGATCTCTGTGTGTCCCTATAATGGTTCGAATGTAGCGCGACGGGTACGAGTTGAAAGTAAACGGTACAAGTTCGTCGGTCACCGCTTTTTTAACCAAATAACACAGAGGGAACGATATTTACATAAGGATCGAAGCACGTCCAACGTATCCACGGAACAAAAATTTTAAACGACTGTCGTAATACATCTTCCCGTACTCGGGAACACAGATTGCTATGCGTCCGTTTACACGGCGCAGACGTGCGTACAAATTTGTATGCGAAAATCTGTTAATTATTGTTTGCTATTTAAGGAGTTACGGGTACTTGGAAAAATTTCAATCAATGGCATTTCTCATTTTAAATATTTTCTTGAATTACGATATTTCGAGAATATTCTCAGACCATTTTAAATCGACCAGACTATAAATGATGGAGTTATTAACAGAC